TATTTAAATATCTTAGGGGAACCTTAGACTCATGTTTATTATACACTGGTTTTCCTGATGTGGTAGAAGATTATAGTGATGCCAATTGGGTAACTGACTCTCAATATGTTAAATTAACATCAGGCTATGTATTCATGCTAGGAGGAGCTGTCATTGCATGGGGCTCTAATAAATAAACTGTAATTGCTAGAAGTACAATGGAATCTAAATTGATAGTTCTTAACACTGCATGTTCTGAAGCTAAATGGCTTAGAAATTTACTTTCTAATATTTCTATTGTACACAAACATATTCCGGCTATTTTTGTACATCGTAATTGTAAGGCTATAATTGAATTGCTCAAGCAGAAAACTACAAATTCAAAACTAAGCAAACATCTGCAAATAAGATATAAATCAATAAAGAGACTTTAAATCAATATGTCACTTTGGACTTTGTTCAATTAGAACATAATTTGGCAGATCATTTGACAAAAGGTCTAGCTAGGATTTCAGTCCAATATTCAGCCAGAGGGATGGGGTTAAGCCCAAATATATAAGAACATTGACAGTGGGAACCCTAATTCTATTATAAACGATCCCTTGAAGGAAGTTCAAAGGGCAGACACAAGCCGGACAAGTGTATCCACTAGAGAGCACTCTTATTATACATGTGAAACATGATTTCACATCGGAGCTAGGCACTCCAAACCTCATCCTAAAGCAGAGTTGCTCCATAGAGAGATTGGTGTAGGATGAGTCATAGAACTCTTAATGGATCCAAGACCTAGAGCAGGATTCTTCCGGTCTCTTACATCCCTAGAAGATTCACTTACGTGAGAATCACTGTGCAACCGCGATTATGAAAGTCAGGGGCTATTCCTATATCTTTTCATGAGTCAGTATTGAGCACATGGCCAAACTAATGCGCCAACCCGCGACCCAATAGAGTAAGCATTCTATGTGTCCTTTTGTTAATTTCTGATAAAGGAGCCTAGGTCAATGCCTCAGGTTTTTCTCAGAATGCAACAAATGTTACTAAGTGTAGGTTTAAGGCCAAAAGCCACCTATACTGATGCATAGAATGTATGCCCATACATACATATTGTTATATATTTTGTTCTTTTAATTTTTTGTTTTGTTACCTTTGATATTTGCTTTGAGGGGGGATTGTTGGATAAATAACTACCCAATCAAATATAAAGATATAACTAAAATAATTAATTAAATATTAATTAAAAGTTAGTTAGCTTTCTCACATTCTAGTTAGCTTTCTCACATTCTCAGGAATGTGAGAAATTCTTAGGCTAAAATCTCTTATTCTGTTTCTTCATAACAGGTTCTTTTTCCCTTATAAAAAAAGAAGCTACGAGGAGATAAAAAAGACACAAAAAAAAGAAACTCTTCCTTTTCTCTTCTTCTTCCTCCATCAAATATTTCCTATAGCTTTCTGGCTGCTTAATCAAGGGACTTCATCTCCAACGTGGTCGTGCATGCTAGGGTTCCGGTAGAGAAGGGATCGTACGGCTAAGGAGTATTTCTACTCCTTGGCTGATCGCACGAGATCGGCAAATATCTCTTTAGGGCAATGGTTCGCCACGCTTTCCAAAATTGTTCCTTTAATTTTTCTTCAACAAATAACAATATTTGTGAATTCTAGTCTAACAGAATGGAAATCATGTCCAAAAAGATCTATACCTGTGCACTCTTACCTAATCATACAGACATACAACTTGAAATTGATTTTTTGTTTGCTTTAGGATCTTGTCAGTACAAGGTTCTAAATGTCGACTGGGGGTATTAGAGGTAATGTGAAAAAAAAGTGAAAATCATTCAAGAGAATGTACACCAGCCCAAAGGAATATGGGTTTAACTGCCTAGCAAATTACACCAAGCTCAGGCTTCCTTCACAGTTTGCAGCCAGGTCAAAGTGATGAAGCGCCACACAAAATCCAGTCCATTCTCCTTCCTGCTCTAGGTTCAATAACAACCAGATCTAGAATACAAACCCCTAACAGAGTTCACATTATATAAAGAAAATTCATTACTTGGCCCCTCAGGGATCTTCTGCCGTAGCTAGCATTTAAGTCTTATTACGCGATACTTGTGCAACATTCCTCACACCAACTCTTCATCCATTCCTTGATTTAATCATAATACACTATGACAAACATAAGGCGATAGGCATCTACTGTTTGATCATTATGGAAATGTTGCTAGAAATCCAATGTTTCTAAGACGATTACATATAATACTAGTTTCCAATGAGTCAAAGCGACCTTCTGATGCATCTATTCTTTCTTACTATTCATTAATTACCTGATTACAAGCAAGAAGAGAGGAGAGGAATAAATTTTGGGGACTAATATCAGTCGATTTATATGACCATATACTATATGAATCCTACAAATGCTATGAAGATGCATGGCCAAGTGAATGTTGTTCATTAAAATCTCAATCAAGTATCATAAATGCACATAAGCAGATTAAGGCAACTGAATTCGTTTTAGAACCTTAAGTAATATAAACAATTAAGCAGAACCAACAGGCATAACTAAATTACCATTAGCTGAAGCAAAGAAATGGAAGTGACACGTTTAGATGAAAATAGGAGAAAGTATATAGTTAATTGGGCTATTCACTTAATACTTTTACCGTGTCAAATCATGTTCAGAAGTGATGCATTCTACGATTCATTACACCCTCCATTTAAGACCAGTCCTGAAGAAAGGGAAGATTATAAATTAAATACAGAAGCTGAATAGAGCCACAATTTTAGAGAAACGTATCGGATGGATGATCAAGGACTAGAGGATGACATACAAAATAATAGGTGGCAGTGTCATGTTAAAGGAGAGAATCACGAGTGGCATGAAATCAGAAATCAAAAGTTAAAATGATAAATGTTATAGTAACAGATTCTGTACTAAGTGTAAGGATAATGGTGAAAAAATCCTCTAACATTTATTTTTACAAATAGGGTGGTCAATAAAATATGCAATGAGCTGTTTTTATTCTGTTTCTTAATATGTTAACACCATTTAACCAGTGATATGTGAACTATAGAAGACTGTGAAGAAAATAATAGTTTTGTGTAGCCCTTGAACTGTAGGCACTTATTTTTAGGGTTCAGAACAAGATTGTAGGTTTTGTCCTCCCAGACTCTACCTTCTTGAAATACATATCAGCATGGTGTTTATTGATTATAACTGCAATACTCCAGGAATTAGTTTTATCTAAAGAGAACCTACAGATCATATGTATGAGCATGAATCTTCTGCATGCTATAGAGTAGGTAAAGACGAGTAAATAAGATGAGGGAACATTTTATACCATTAATGAAGTAATCGAATGTGGCTCTCAGCTACAAACTGGTATTATATAACTTTATAGTAATCATATGCCATCTGCTAACTTATTGCATGTTCTATAGTAGGTAAAGACAAGAAAATAACATGAGGGAACTTTTTATATAATTATTGAAGTAAATGGATGTGGCTCTCAGCTCCAGAGAAACTACGATTATGGAACTTTACAGTAATCATATGTTCTCTGCCAACTTATACACATTGGATATGAAACGAAAAATAACGAGATAAAGCTTTGAGGTCTACATAGCATAGGATCGTACTAGTAAGTATAAGAAAATGATTTTGTTGATGGAAATGAATTGTCAAGTGTATTCATTATAAAAGGCTTTTTCTTATATAGTCCAAGTAAATGGGAAAAGATTTTTCACTTTTCTAATAAAATCTGCATCAAGAGATGATTACAATGGATGACATGAATAGGGTAAGAGATATGATAAGAAATAAGCATAACTGTAAGAAGTAAGAGGTGTTACTCTTACCGAGGATAAAATAAACGATAATCAATTGATTGAGTTTAGCTATGTGCAATGTTTTAAAAAGCTCCCACCTAAGCCTAGGCAGTACCTTGGCCGCCTAGGCCCTGTCTGTCTAGGCTCTGGGCAACTAGGTCATGAGAGCGCATAGGGGAGCGGAGATAGCTCAAGCGGACTGCACCATTAAGTCTTGGTCGTGATTTTCTCTGTTGTTGCCTCCATGCCCTCTAACCTCCTCTAAACTCCTCTAGCCTTCTTCAACTCCTTTGACCTTCAGCAAAACCTCTTGTGCCACAACTTAAAAAGAAATCCTCCTAAGCCTTGTGCCTAGGCGCATCAGTTTGGCACCAAGCGGTACCTAGCGCTTTGATAACAGTGATGGTAATTAAAAAAATAAAACAAGGACAATACCTAGGCCTCACCTAGGCTCTAGGCACCGGCTTCAATCCCTAAGCCGTCTAGCGCTTTTTGTAACCTTGGTTACGTGCAGCGAAGATTGTTAAATGCACTAATCACTAGGTGCCGGGTCCGACACCTAGGTTATCTAGCGCTTTCTGTAACCTTGGTTACATGCAGCAAAGATCATTAAAGGCATTAATCAGATGAAATGATTATTATCTATAAACAACGAAACAAGAGGACTAAAACTAGGCCTTTTGGATGGAGGCAATTGAGAAGGATATGCTAACAGCTAATTTAATTGAAGAGAAATCAGGATAGAACTGAAAGGAGGAGAAGGATTCATAATATTTTGGGATAAAGGTTATACCTTCCATCAATGTGGTAGAATACTGAGAATGAGGAATTTATTTTATCTTTTTCAAAGAAATCCAGGAGGAAAAACACTAGGGCTTTTTGTTCACTGTATGAGACTCCAACCTTCTGACATATGCAAGAACACATACCCCCTCTATATTCTAACTCCAAAACCAAGATGAATTTTCAACACAGAAACCCCAAAATTCTAAACTTTGCCCTCTCCTTCATGTTCATTCGGATGTTCTATGGACAAAGATCTATTAATCAGTTTGATTTTTAGAAAAAAGTCAGTCAAGAAGAAGAAAAAAATGCTTCCTGTTGTTTATTTACTGGAACGTAAACAGGAAACTACTAATGTTTGAAATTTCAATTGAATCGTGGATAAGAAAGATCATACTCATAATGCAAGAAAAACTCACCGTTTTCGTACTGATCGAACCTCCGATGGATCGCCGCCATTGTCTCCATGACATCGTCGTCATCGGAATCCGACGGTGCTACCGACCTGAGCGGTTTGATCACCGGAAATGGATCAGGACCGTCAGAATTGATCGAGAACTTCTCTTGAATTTGCCGAAACCAACCCAAAACGTCGCTTCCGCTGCTATCGGAGTCCGAATCATTGGGGATTTCCATTGCGGAGGTCCCGGTCTTGGCGAGGATCCTTCGCAGCATCTCTCTGTCGTCGTCGCCGTCGCCGTCGCTGTCAGAGGAGGAAGAAAGCGGCATGATGACGATTTTGGGTTAGGGGTTAGGGTTTAGGGTTTAGGGTTTTGGGATGGAGGAGGAGACCACCGCTTTTGGTGTACAAGGAGGGGGGAATTCTTAGCTATGTGGGAAAAGTTTGTAGATCTCCCTGGGATTATTCTGCATTTTCTTTTTGCCCTAATATTTGATTACATGCCCTGAGTTTACCCCACGTTATCATAAGGTAAATATTTTGTAAAAATTTGTTTTTAGAAAAAAAAAGGGTTAATTACGGCTAGGGATGGCAAAATGCACCCAAAACCAATTGCCCACTCATACCCACCCATCAAATGAACCATCCAAACTCACCTATTTAGTTAAATTGGTCATAAATGGGTGGTTATAGTTCCTATTAAAGATAAATGGATCATTAATGGGCGGGTTATTACCCACCCATTTACCCGTTTAGATGGATATTGTTTTAAAAACACCCTCAACGTTTCAACAATTACAAAACTTATTTTTAAAAGTTAAAAATTATAGAAAACACTTAAAATGACTAACAACCCCTTAAAATTTTGAGATTTGTAAAAAACACCCTCAAAGTTTAAAATATTATAAAAACACCCTCAAGAATTAAAAATTATAAAAAAAACTATCAAAATTTTCTAACCTCACATATGACACATGAAATTCAAAAATTACCAACAGCCCCCTAAAATTTTGTAATTTGTAAAAAATACCCTTAAAAGTTGTAGAAAATGAGAAAAACACCCTCAAGACTTCAAAATTACCAAACAATCTTAGAGTTTTCTAAACTTGCAAATGACATATGAAATCTAAAAAATTTTAATAGTCCCCTATAAATTTAAAATTTGTAATTAACACCCTCAAAGTTTTAAATTTTTAGAAAAACATCCTCCATAGTTTAGAATTACAAAACCATCCTGAAATTTCAAAACCTACAAATGACACATGAAATCCAAAAATTACTAGCAGCCCCTTGTAAATTTATAATTTATAAAAAGCACCCTCAAAGTTTAAAAATTGAAAAAAACACCCTCAAGAGTTCAAAACTACAAAACAATCTTAGAATTTTCTAAACTTGCAAATGACACATGAAATCTAAAAAATTTCGGTAGTCCCCTATAAATATCAAATTTGCAAGTAACACCCTCAAACTTTTAAAAATTACAAAAAACACCCTCAAGGATATATAAATATAAAAAGTAGGCGCTCACAATTCTTCGTCGGCAGGAGATATATGCATGTGCGGCCAGTAATTTGCAAAACTTGCGTCTATTGCGCGAGAAACAGGAGAGAAAGAGAGCGTGTATTGTTATCCGGCGTGATAAAAAAATTTCAAGGAGAATTATTTGGGGACACTCGGTAATTAAGAACAAACATGGAAAAAATAATAGACTTTAACCAACAACAAATATGAAGAAATGAACAATTATGCTCATAGCTCATGGATTTTAAACAAATGAAAGAAAAACACAATCTCTCTCAAAGCAGTTCACGCAAGGCTAAGGAGGTGCAGGATTTTTAAGATCCTCGGAGTGGGACGTGATATTTTTACCACATTTTGTTGACAAATTTAGACGGCAAAAAGATTTAGTTAGGATTTTTTTATGGAATGTGTGGTGCGTGGGTTTTTAGAGCCAAATTTAGTTAGGATGTTTTTTATCAAATAGAGCTGTTAGGTAGTGTGGTTTTGTAAACCGTGCAAGGTGGGGTTTTCTAAAGATATTTTGTTATTTCTTTGCTCTGTCCTAATTTGACCCTAAGATGAAGAAAAACCGAATTAAATGTTGAGGGTACTCCGGTATTCTGAAAATATTGACGCATGACCAAAGTAAGGGCTTTTTTTAGAGAACCGAGCAGGCAGTAGACTAGACTTGTTACGAGTCCATCTCTTCTTTTGCTCAGCCACGTCATCATTTGCTTCTTTTGCTCACAATTCTGTCCTAATTTTTCCAAGTAGTCGATTCAATTGAGAAAGAAATGTTTACAGAAAACCCCCTGAAAGTTTGTAGAAAACCCCTAAAAGTTTACAAAAAAACCCCTGAAAGTTTACAGAAAATCCCCTAAAAGTTTATAGAAAACCCCATGAAAGTTTACATAAAACCCCTAAAAGTTTGTAGAAAACCCCTTAAAAGTTTGCAGAAAAACCCCTGAAAGTTTACAAAAACCCCCCTGAAAGTTTGCAGAAAATGCCCTAAAAGTTTGCAAAAAAACCCCTAAAAGTTTACATAAAACCCCTGAAAGTTTGTAGAAAACACCCTGAAAGTTTGCAGAAAAAACCCTAAAAATTTACAGAAACCCCCCTAAAAGTTTATAGAAAACCACCTGAAAGTTTACAAAAAACCTCCTAAAAGTTTACAGAAAACCTCCTGAAAGTTTGTAGAAAACTCCCTGAAAGTTTGTAAAAAAACCCCCTAAAAGTTTGCAAAAAACCCCCTAAAAGTTTACAGAAAACCCCCTGAAAGTTTGCAGAAAAACCCCTAAAAGTTTACAGTAAACCCCCTGAAAGTTTGCAAAAACCCCCCCGAAAGTTTGCCAAAAACCCCTGAAAGTTTGCCAAAACCCCTGAAAGTTTGCAAGTAGATCCCTGAAACTTACATATATATAGAAGCATCATAATCATAACTAAATGGGTTATTGGATCACCCATGAACCACTCATTTAGTAAATGGGTGGTTGAGAAGTGACCCATTTAGCAAATGCTAAATGGGTCATAAATGGTCAAGTGGTCATAAATGTACCCATCCATTTATGACCCAACCAAGACCCAACCAAAACCACCCATTTGACATCCCTAATTACGGCAGACCCCATAGTGTATTGCTCATTTGAACTTTCCATCCTCTACTTTTTCCCAACTTAACACCCTCTACTTTTTCCAAATATACTCTTGAGGGTTTTTTTTTACTCTTTTATTCCCAAAGGAAGAGCAATTAGGTTTTGACAAATATTCCCATGAGAGAAAAAGAGATACAAAATCAGCCAACAAGTTCATCTGTGAAAATATAACTAGAGAGATAGCAAGCTTATGCTGAGAAGGTTCTATCCACAATTAACTCCAACGAAAAGTAATTCTTGCAAGAAGGAACTACCTAGCTAATTATGTTCCTTGGTATGAGAAGTATTTATCATAAGGCTCCATTGAAAGCAAAAGAATTTTCATGTGAACAAATTTGTTAGAACAAAGGGATTTTTCATTTTAAACACATGTTTTATCCTCGTTTATTGTAACCCACCCATTTTCAAAATTACTAGTTGAGATGCACGTGCAATACACGTGGTTGAATATCATGATTATTTAAATTGATAAAAATACAATAAAAATAAAAAAAAGTTTTTTGTGGGATTGATCATCAACTCCATAATCTCTCTCTCAAATAAAAAATTGTCATTGTTTCCTTCAACTCAGACTATGGCCACATGATCTACTATTTCTAAGTTATAAACACATTGATCTAGTATAACATCTCTGTTTATTAGTATCTTTAAGTCTTCAAAAGATGAGTGATCATTCAATTTGCAAAGGAATTTTACATATGAATTTACTTGCAATATGTCCATTAAGCTGTTAGTTGTGGTTTGACTCATATTCACATTAATTTATAGTTGTGGTTTCACTATATTTACATTATCTAATATTCTCATTCAATTTTATAACTCATTCTCCACATCATAGAAGTAAAACTGAAAGTATGAAGAGCTATTTTCTTACAAAATTAGAGCATGAAATCTATGATATATTCCGCCATGTGCTCTAAATATAAAAAAATTTCTTTGATGCAAGGTTTTTATCAAATCTTACCCCAAACGATGTGAATGAAAAATACTATTATAACTCACTTGCCTAGAGCAATTGTATTGTATATAAGATTTATAACTCATTTGGAATATTCACATCTACCAAGTGGATTTTGTTGTTATGAGAGCAAAATGTTAGAGGCTCGTTCAAAGTTTTGGGCTCTATAAAATATACAAGAATTTAGAGTTCATAGCTTATATATCGTAAAGAAGATATTGGTTCATGAAAAGTTTTCTCCAATAACGATATTATTACAACGATATTACTATTTAGTATTAAATCAAATTTATATATAAGATTATATGACCCTTTTTAACGATATTATTATTTAATATTAAATCAATTTTATTATATAAGATTATATGACCCTTTTTAATAAATTATAAAAAATATATATGGAAACCTCGATGCTTATAGTCAGTAGTTGTGCTAACTTTGCATTGTAGTTTGTTATTGGTAGTACTGTTGACAATGTCATTACCTTTCCTTTTTATCTTATTATTCATGTTTTTTTATATAAGTTCTCTTTCACTAATCACTCAATTGGCTATATTTAGTTCTTATAATATCATAGGTTAATCATTCAATTCCCTGACCCTTCCTCCCCCGAAAGAAAAGGGTCGATTCTCCACGGGACCACTAGTCCCGTGTAGTTCTTCTAAAAAAACTCAGAATCACCCCACCTCCTCCCCCAAATCCCCCGATCCCTCCTCCCCAAAATCTCGCGACTGACGCCCCTCCTCCCCCAAAAAAGCAAGCCAGCCATAGGAGACAGCCAGTACTCTCTCTCTCTCTCTCTCACCACATTCAGGTTCTCACTTTTGCTCTTCTCTCTAAGTTATAACCCTAGTTCTCGTCATCGTCTTTTTCTTGGATCTGATGCACACAAAAAAGCCCAACACGGCCCCAAGCGGAAAACTCCCACTAGACCCCCTCACTTCTACTGTACTCATCCCCAACCGCCCCCTGCCCATTTCCAAACCCATATTCTCCTTCCCCTGACTGCCGATCAGCTGCGCAAAGGGCGGTAATGCCAGAGCGAGCCCCGCCGATCCCCGGCTCCCCGCACTACTACCTGACTCTTGGCTGATGGTGGGTCCTGCGGCCGATCATACCCCGAGGACTTAGGGCCCAGGACTGGGGCTGCGGGCACGCTCGGGGAGGCATCGGTGCCATCGGCGGTGACGGAGAGGAGGAGGAGGAAGAGGTGGGAGAGGATGAGAGAGGAGAATAATTGCTTCATTGCTTGTAACTGGGTTGCGAATATGGAATGAGTTTTGAGTTGGGTTGCGAGGAGAGAGGGAGAAGGGGCAGGGTTTTTTAAGGGG